TTTTAGCCTAGAAGTAGACCGGAAAAGCGGTTGCTCCTTCAAATTGGCGCCAAAAAAAAAAGCGCGGAAGAGACGTGCGCATGCTTCCCCGTTTAATGTATTTTTTTTGCGCCCTTTTCCATATATCAAATTTCGCATAATTATGTCATTACGCAGGCCATGCCACATGCCATTCCACAAACTCATTTCGCCTTTTGCCCTCACCGATTCAAGGGTTGACTGAAATCACCAAATGTAACAGCTAATATAAGGAGGAAGTTGAAGTGGGTGGCATCCAAACTCTATCCCCGTACAGGTGGCAGTTCTCCTTTTCTAAGGTTTGAATGCCCAGCATTAATACCTCCTTCGCCTCCTAAAAAGGGATTTAAAAAGGAAATAACAATAGATTTAATACTGATTGAAGACAGTCGGGGGGAGAAAACGCAAGGTCTGGATGACCTGGATCTTACAGTGCATACCTGCAAAGGTGAATATATACTCACTTGACAGTTAACACACCTTTTGTGCCGCTTGAATTTCAGGTCGAGATGGTAGAGCTGGATTACCAGGACCTGCCGGTCCAGCTGGTTAGTTGGCTGTAGATTGCATGCCAGCCTCGTTCCCAGGGTTCTCTCCTACCCGCCCAAGGGAGCGAGAGAGGGTAGGAGACTGTGGGAGAGAGAACCTGGGAACGAGGTTGGTTGCATACGTCTAATCAGCCAATTTTTTGCACACTATTATTAAGCTGTTACATTATTGGAAGTACCAAGAACCTTAGGGTGGTACCTTTTCGACGCAAATATGATGCAAAAAAAGTACTACTAGGAGCAAATCAGTAGCAAAGATGGTAAATACCGCATTGGCATGATATATAGTCTACATGGGATTGTATTAATTGGTGGGCACATGCGATATTTACCACATTTAAACTAATTTCTTCTTAGTTTTTTTTGCATCTTATTTGCCCTGAGAAAATTTGGTGTACTAGGGACTTGCCAGAAATTAGCAGCGGAAAGGGGGGGGGGGGGGGGGGGGGGGAAAAAAAGGGGGGACAAAAATTTTTTTGAAACTCAAAAAAGGGGGGGGCAATAAAAAAGGGGCCGTTAAAGGGGGGAATTTCTCGCAAAAATAGGCTGGTTTACGTTACGGGGTCCCCCCCGGGAGAAAAAGGGAAGTTCTTTTTTTGTTTAAAAAACACCAAAAAAAAAAAAAGGGAAAA